CTCTACTTCAACGTCAGTACATCCGCTGTCCCGACAGCAGACGTCGACGGAACCACGCACGAAGGTAAACGCACAAAGCTCACCGCGTGCTTCATGACTGAAAATTGAATTTCGTTTCTTTCACGTCTTACTAAAATTTCAGTCTCCTTTCTTTCTTTTTCAGTCACATGTGAAAAAGTTTCTACAAAATTTAATCCGTTCAGTGCGTCTAGTGGATTCTGTGAATACGGAACATATCTGTTGCGATGTTTTTACCTACACAGGGCAGCACATAAACGGTTCACAAACCAACAAATATAAGTCATTAAATTTATAACAAAATGTTTTATTAATTCATCTCTATGAAACTGACCTTAACGTAATTACATACAGTACTTTATGGAAAATGTTACTGAAGAACTTAAGATGGTTTTAGTAGCATAATAAGCACGTTACACCCCACAAACAGAAAAAAATCATCACTCTTCCAGACTTCAACTCGCTGGCTTCTGAACCGTCCATATGCACTCAACTACGTTCCCTGAACGGTATCTTCGAAGAAAATTTGATTATATATTCCTCTAGTTGTTTCTACTCCTTTCTTTCCACTACTTTCTATTCTTTAATTATTTGCTTCATTCCGCCTCTACATAATCTTTCTTTAATCTCTTCTGCCATATTTAGTTAACAAAATGTGTACATCGGCCATAAGGTCAAGATTTTATCTTTGGTTTGAGGGCATTTGAGTATTAATTCCAGTTACTGAACTGCAACTGATTTATTCCTCTACCACAATGAACTCGGGTTTTGAACCACATCATTTTGTAATCCTTGTCTTGCTACTGTAAATATTGACGTAAGAAATCACGTGCCCGGTTTCTATAGACCTACTTCTTCTGATATTATTTCCCATGATCCGTACGTCACACAGTCGTTTTGAACACAGTACCGTATAGAATTAGAAACACGTCTCTTCTCATTTTGGTTTTGAAATGTCTTGTCGTTATGAATTTAATTTGGCCGGGCTCAGAATCTAACCCGAAACTTCCCAAATGTGAAAGAAAAGTGATAACCACACGGCGATGTATACGCTTTTAAATCAGTTTACTTTCAAGTCTCCTTATACATGTTTGTTCTCATGTCGGCTATTTATTGGGTACATTAGTCACATAAATTAGCCGTTTCCTATTTAAGCACTTACTGCTTCGTATCCGAGAGATCCTTGATTCGATTATCGACCCGAAGGCCAACTATTCGAGAAACTTTGGCGGCTTTCTACAATCTTGACATGCAAGCGCCAAGACAGAATCTTAAAATAGGTCACGCTCCTTCCCTATTCACAACTTTAAAACAACCCAGCTCTCTTAAACGCCATGTGCCTTTTCGCTGCAAAGTGTCATTAAATAAACTAAGAAATATGAGGGTGGGTGTATATAACCACTGCAGTTTAGTCGACTACCCTTCTAGAGTCTGTTCGCAGGAGTGTATGTGTTCGAACACAGAAAAACAATAACCAAACGAGGAGAACGAGGAGAATAAAATAAAGAATAAAAAGGAGACGAAATAAGAGAAGAAGACTACTATGATAAAGAAGAGTTGTAATGTTTATGTCACCGCTACTGTGTTGTTCATAAAATCACTCCACAAAAATTTTATTCATTTTTATTTTGACCTAAAGGGCTACAGCGACTAATGAAATATAATCGGATAAACGTAGTCAACATGGAACTCTAACTCACCAGCCAGGAAGAACACGAAACCCAGCACAATGATTCACAATATACGTAGTTTGCTGGTGTGGTATAAGCAGCTATCTTCGTCGTACTAATAAGATGTTATAAAAGGAGCGGTGATTTCAAGGAGAGGACTTCGGTCTCTGTTAGTGATGCTAATGCAACAACGTGATTTAAATAATGTATCCCACACGTCAGTTAACCCGCCATCTACACAAAGAGACAAATATTAACGCGTCAGTCAATGGCAAGTGTGTCAGTAGGTTCTGAGGCGCTTCAGGGTCAATGACTAATCGCGTCTGAGTAAACTCCGCGTTAAAACAATTATGATCCAGTTTTAAATTATAAGAAATTGTGCGTGGGTTTGTAAATGAGACTCTAAAATAACATGGATTAAAATCGCAAACACGACAAAAATAACCTGGTTTAAAATTAGATAAACCCAAGCGTAAGTAACGGGGGCTGACAGGCAGATTCAGGATAGAACTACACAGAAACAAATAGAAACCAGGACCATTGTAAACAACACCTTGGTCTGTAAATGAGGTCTTGGCAACAATCCCTAAAATCACACGGTCTCGGTTAAAAAAGGAGTGTGAGGGTCACAACAAAAGACGTCAATAGAAATTAATTTTTGCCCCTATATGCCCAATAAAGGCCTGCTTTCCACAAAGTTGGAACAAAATGTTATTCGTGTTGCTCAAAAATTATTATTATTACAGTATAGCATTGGACTGAAACATTTGCAAATATAGTATTCAATGGAACAAGGGAAATTCACTGAAGACTGCAAAGTATTATGTGGCATAACATCAAGGCCAATGACGTTTCCACAGTCGGAAGGAACATTTTTCCAAAATATGTGTACTGCAAAATAAATGTTTAAACAAATACACCATACCTCAAATAATGAACAACTTTGAAGTATTTTCGACAAATATACTTAAAACAATGGACAATGTCCAACATAACTATGATGTTAAGATCACAGAGATTCTAAAACATTTGTATCTCTTTCAGGATCTACCAATCCCAATATACAGTTTCAACTAAGTGTTCCCAAGAACATTGCAGTTATCCAGAATGTGACCCTGGTAAATAAAGATGGTAACAATCTGAGCCAACTACAGTACAATCCAGGGACTGATCTTCTTCCTGCAATCAACATTCCAGAACACAAGCTATCTAATGAACCGTTCTACTTGCAGCTAACAGCTAGCACAAATGATGGTTTGTATTCTTCTATAAAGACAGTCCACAATAGTGGTGACTGAAGTATTCTACGACTTTCTTCTCTTTCTCCTTTCATTCTTTCCAGTTTTACATACATAATATTCATGACAAAACGAGGCAGAGACACAGAGGAATTGTTAAAAACACACAACAAGTCTCCATTAAAAAGACCTACTCATTAATGCTATTTAGCAAATCAACATACGGCATTCAATGTGTTTACAGGCACCTCAGTATGTTAGAATGATTCAAGACGAGCAATGGTGAAATGCAGTTGACATAAAAAAATTTAACTGAGCTGAAAAAAACACAAAACAAAGGGACATTTGGGTCTAATTTTAAGCTCTACAGATCTACATAAATGTGTTTTCAAGCCATTATCATTTTAACTGCTTGAAAGCTGAGATTTATACAGCTAGCAAAGTACTCCCTTTTCACATGTATCTATGCCAACTTAAGACAATTTTTAAAAGTTAAAATGACTAAAATATTTAGCAAAAATGGTAAGAGAGTATATTTTCACTGAGTTACTGCCAACGACCCATTCTTCAAGTGCCTGAACACTGCGGGTCCCAACTTTTCATTGGCTTGATCTATGGACATTCGGTAGGACTCCTTGGACGAGGGATCGGCCCGTCGCAAGACCTCTACCTGTACACAGGACAGCACAACACAGAAAAACGCGGACAAACATCCACGGCTAGAGTGAGATTCGAAGCCACGGTCCCAGTGACCAAGTGGCACAAGGCCCACGCCTCAGACCGCGCGGCCACTGCGGACCCCATATTTCACTGATGTTACAAATGATCAATTTTTCAGACCAAGTGGTCCATATTTTGATTGAGACATATCATTCACAGCATAAGAAGATTAAAAAAAACTGCTCCACAACACTGCCCTAAAGAGACTGAGATGAGCTATGAAAATGCTGTCAGGAAAGCTAGTTTCACAGATGAGATTCAAATATTGTACATTCCAAACATGAGCAAAAGTATTAATGAGTACACCATAATGCTCATTCCTAATTACATTATAAACAGTGTTTTCAATTATATACTTATGTTACAGGTGAAGTCGTTGAACGTTTAGTGGAAGTAAATCACCAAACAGCAAGTTATGAAACTCCTTATACTGCAGATGTGTTACCCCAGTCAACCCTTCAGGTTCAAAGTGGATATACAATGACCTTGGTTTTCAATGTCACAAATCACTATCCTGCACTTGCGCAACTTACTTTCACATGCCAGGCCAAGGATTATCGCTACATCTTCTCACAGCTCTTCATCAAGCCTCCAATGTGAGTATCAACTTTGATGTAAGAACAGCACGTTTCAGAAAAGCAGGTTATGTTAAGAACGTAATTAATACAAACTACAAAGACCTAAAAAAGATGCAGTGACTGGAGAATGGATAACTTACATAATGTCGAGCTTTGTATTTCCTGCCTATTATTAAAAAAATCTTGAAGGAAGAGATGGATGGAAAATTTAGCATACTCAGTGGAAATGAGTACTGGAGATGAAATTTTGGTTAAAAGACTTTGAAGGATGAAACATATGTTCACAAAAACTAACCAGTAGCTTCATTTTAGAATAATTGTGCTACTAAACTTTTACCTTTTATTGACAGGGGATCCTGTACTGAACTCCCATGCCAAAGCCTGACACACAAAGGCAAGGCATGCATTCTCTTTCTTCTAGGCACTTTGCTTCACATGATACATTCTAATTCCTTTTTCTTTTAGGGCTGGCATACCTCCAGGAAGATCCATAGAAGTTGTAGTAACAGGAGTAATCAATAAGAATGTACCACAGGGTACAATGGCTACAATTGAGTTTTCAGTTCGTTCATTTTGGGCATCATATCCGCCTGTCAACCGTGCTGTTTACTTGTCTGTAGGAGTACCACCAGTAAGTTAGTCTTCCTTCTTCATTTCATAATAAAAGGTAGACTTGTTACCATGTTCACATGTCTGTCTGTTGCGTAGCTTATCTTTCAAACAACAAATCAGCCAAAAAGACTAATGAGAACGCTACACCACTAGCATCACTGGAACCACTACTACTGTACTGGTGTACGACCATAACTAATGTGACAGTTGGATGTGGACATTAAAAAATTTATGCATGGCATCAATCACTGGACACACACGAGATACATATACTGAATTAATTCAAGCAGGATGCTGTGGCAGCAACACTGCACTTTTCATATGAAGATACGGGGACTGAACTTCAGATTTCCTAAAGGATGACACTAGCTAAAGTTCTTCAAAGTATTCAACAGTCTAAGTGAACACTGGTATGGTACCTTCAAATAGGCTATGACCACATTCTTTAAATTCTTACCCAGTTATAATTCATGATCATCTTCCCACTTTATTGGTCACTACATTCCTCATGCAATTAACAGAATAAACAATATAAACATAAGTACATGAGTACTGCATATTGTTTATGTATCATTTTATAGGTCCCTGATTCAGACAATCCAACCATCAACTATTCAGTGAAGAACAATTGTAAGAATGTGCCCCAAGAGAGTTGTTCAACTTCTGCATGGAATATGGAGGCCACTGTCCAAGACAGTCACTCAGGTACATACATCCTAAGATAGTCTGCAATAGTCATACGGAGAAGTATTTACTTCAATTCTGATTGATGATTTAAACCTTTTCCTCAGTCTCTCCAACGAATGCTGGGATAGAACTTTGAAAAAGGCTGAAATAAACTCCTTCCACATCCCTACAAATCCACATTTATGATCATATTCCCATTGAATTAAACACTATATAACCTTTGCTGTTGACACAGGATTGTTAAATATCCCAAGAATCACGACAATATTGTAATTCAAAAACAAATACAAGTAGTAGTGAAAATGTGTCACAAAACTTCCACATGCTTGCTTTAATTCCAGGGCTCATCAGTGTGTCATCTAACCCAAGAGGTGTTCAATTCCTAACCAGTTTCACTGCAGGTACTAAGACAGCTGTTCCAATAACATACAGAGCTTCTTGCTGTGCCCCCACTATTGACATCAAAGCCACAGATGCAAAAGGCAATTACATCACCCAGCACATTGATGCCAATGCTGGTATGTCTGCACTGTACACACCAACAGCGACAACAAACACAATATGCGCCTTTATATTACTATTAGTATATGGGCAATTTGTATATTAAATAATAGTATATGAAGTGGAAAAATCCAAATTGATACTGATTGAACACTGTTATTGTAATACTTCTTTTGAAGAATAACAATACTGAGACATATTTTGAACAAATGCTGTCTCTAACATATTAGCATTAAAAAATCATACATTTTTAAAATTACTTTTTATCTATTTTTTCTGTCCAATCACGGAAATAAAGCCAGAACATAAAATGACCTGTTTGGATCTAATAGCTTTCAGGTTCTGTTAACATTACTGGCAAGCCAGATTCAAGCCAGAAAGCTCTTGAACTTCGACTTTATGTTTTTTCTCCTTTATTCTGGACAATTTTGTTAGTGTGTTCAACAGGGACAGTTTTTTAGTGCAGAACCTGCTGCACTGGGACTAATAAAATACTTTACAAAACAATGCATCCTAAAGAAACTGACAATTTTAATAGCCAACAAATTACCCCAGTCCCATATTCCTTCCTAATACTCTATATTGTAACCTGAGTCAAATATGTTTCACATAACAATGCAAAGTATTTGTTAAAAGCAAACCCTTTTAGTGTCATGAACATGGTTTGTTTCAGGTAATGAAGGACTATCTGATGCTGGAATTGCAGCAGTCATCTTGGGAGTTCTACTTATACTCATTATTATTGTTGTCATCGTTCTGGCCATTTTACTTTGTAAGAAACGACGATCACATAATCTCCAACTTTCTTCACATTAACTAATGATAATGTATGGAACTGTTTTCATCTTATAACAAATTCAGAACAAATACAAACAATCATTCATCATTAAAGAGTAAGATTATTATTGACAGTTTATAACATTTTGAAGTAAGCTCATCTAAATACTTCTGAACATTCAGTCCCTATCTCAATGAAAATTACTACACTTCACCATTATAATGAGATGGTTAATGCTGTTTAAGAAAATAATCACCATTTACTCTGACAATCATGTGAAACCCATAAATACACTCTTTGGAAGAAATGTAAAATAACTAACTTAAAGTAGGTGGTACATACAGTTACCACTGGACATTCAAGGATTAAGATCAGCAATTGTTATCTGATTCACATCCATAAATACATCATGTTATTATTGTTAAGAAAACCATTACAAGGTTCATGAAACTTGGGTTTTGAAGCACTGTCACATATTGTAAATCCAATATAACTTACATAAGTTTCAAACTAAATTAAAACCTTCTGTAAAGTACAATTCAATCTGCAGTATGTTAGTTGCACAATACAGCTAACCATATTCAAATTACTATATTCAATTACAACTCTTCAAACAAGATGATATTAACAAAACAAATTATTTCTATAATCCACAACATTTTGACTCATACAAAGGAGACTATCATTACCAAAGTCAAATCAAGCAACAAAAAGATAAATTTGGATATGTTACTGAATGTAATCTTGCATTACGTCTAGGAACGGCATGTCAAACATCTCAATGTTTGCTAATGTCACAGCAACACAAATGTGTTAAAACAATGTTTTCATCTCAGGATTATATAAAATAGTATTAAAATGCAAGAATAAAGAGCCTAGACACAAGGTATTATTTAAAAAAATTATAAAATTTCTGAATAAAATAATTCTGATAAATAGGCCTATACACATTATGCTAATCACTTATTTTCCATAAGAACTAAATGTCCTTGTTTGGTGACTGTTCTTTACCTGAGAGGTCCTAGGTTAAAATATTAGCTACAGGTCAGTGACAAAATAACGTCCCATGGTTAGCAATGTAAACAAGAGGCAGATGTGGTGGAAGAAAGGCAAAGACACAGACTAACAATCTTAAATACAATAACATGGCTCCACTATGGAATTTTGGATTCACACCACCTTACTTCCTAACCCATATACTTAAAACTAAGAAAAGAATGTAACCATTTGCTTATATCTGTAGGACAGCTCTGATCTACTTACTTACTTCAGTTATCTTGCAACAATTTTCGTCGAGACACTGCCACTAATTTTGGAATATTATTATAACAATCAAACATCTTATTACAGAAACGAAATTCCAGTTGAATCCTACACAGAAGTTCTAAATATAAAAACAAACAAGTTTGCTCACCTTCTGATAGAACGGATGACGTATTTTGCGAAACTGGCATCAAAAGCGCACTAGCTGAGAATTTTTCCGATGGAAATCCACTACTAGCAGCCGAAAGAAGAGGGTTTTTAACTGTTTTTGACGTGTCACTTTTACTTCTGTCAGCCATTACAATTTCTTTCAACAGTCTGATATATCCTTGGTTTTAATCAGTGCCACCAATAACACCTATTCAAAATTCCTTAATTTGGGTCTCTATCTCTCTGCACACGTTGTGTTTATACCTAAAAAATAAACAGTCTTCTTGCTTATACACACACACACACACACACACGAAATTCTATCTCTTCGTAACGAGCAGAATTCTACGGCAGATAAAGTTCTTAGCATATTATTAAACAGTACTGTCTTAGGTAGGAATCGCGTATAACACCTGAATATTTTGACATTGGGAGAAGAGGGCTTATTAGATTCAATGATCACTTATGAAACCGTAAACACGCAGTAATTTAACTAACTGTATGTTTCTATTCAACCTTCAAATCTGATAAGACGATGCCGATAGCTACTGACAAGCCATGACAATCACAGTAAAAACTTCTTTTAATGACGATGATGATTGGAATTAGAAAGACAATTTCCAAGAGTTCACTTTTCTAACTCAGATGGTCACCGTGACCTAACACTATTGAATAATTTTCAAATTAATGCTAAAAAGTTGTCAGTGGAACCACGGTTCCGGAGAATTTGACGTAAATACGTCTATACGGAAAGGAAGTTTATATATTGGCTTTATTCTAAATATTTCCTTCATATATGCTTTACATTTGAGATAAGTTTGATTAAGACATTGCTTATTTAACTTGAATTAGTTAGGCTTAAGATGGGGTCTGTGGTAGCTGAATGTAATGTAAGGTAAGGTAAGGTAATGTAATTTAATGTAAGGTAAGGTAATGTAATGAAATGTTTTATAGGTATCAACAATGCCGAGTAAACAGATGATGTTTCCTAGGTAACAAAAATGCCGAGTAAATAGATGTTCCTTAGGTAGCCATTATTGTCGATTTGTTGATAAACAGATGAAGTTTCCTAGGTAACCATTGTTGTTTATTTGTTGATAAACATATGACGTTTCCTAGGTAGCATAACAATGAAGTTACACTTTTTCGTTTCCCTTTTTCGTAACACATTTTTGCCGAATGACCCTTCCTTATAGACATATTTATGTCAAAAAATTTACAGCGGAACCACGGTTCCGGAGAATCTGACGTAAGTACGTCTTTGTATTTAAATTATATTTAGGCAATAAATACAATGAAAGGTGACTCGGCACTGAATCTTACACATCTTATAATAATAATAAATAGGAATCCCTTACCTCAAACTTTGTTCAATTGTAAGAGACCACGATGTCCACCAGCAATCAATTTAATCAAAACTAAAACGTTTTTAACAGCACAATATTATATACTCTACGACGCACTTCTTCTACAAGCGATTCACAGCTCAGCTCTTTCCGCAATAATGAAAGCGGATTGTTGACAGCAGTAATGAAACACAACAATATCAAATAAACAAATGACTTAACAATTAGTTTCTTAGGTAAAGGAGTAAAGCATTCTTATGCATGCAGGAGTTCATATAAAAGCTGACCATTGTCGGTCCATATTTACACATTGTTGGTATGGATCTTACATATTTTCCTGACGCTGTTTTGCCGAATGACCCTTCCGTATAGACGTATTTACGTCAATAATGTATTACAAGGTTTGGTAGATTAAAGAGAAAACACAAATTATACATCTCTGAGAAGTCCAACACAAAACTTGAAATTAGTATTTGGTCACAAGCATGTACAATATCCAGTATAAAACACAAATATGTTCACAGATTATGGAACTGATTTCTTGTTAAGCCTGAACAGTGAAGTTGACTGCAGACTGCATTCATTGGATATGATTACTAACACAAGCTGTGGGGCATTTTGGTTTTTGAGCCAAGGGGTCAAAGAGCAATAGCTGCAGATGGACCTGCTGGGGTGGGGGCGGGATGGAATATGTGACTTAACAGAAAATGATGCTCTTAAGACATGATTTAATCAGCTTGTTTTATAAAATACACATAGATACACACACAAACAAAACATTAATAGATTTCTGCTTCAGTACTGTAAACATTTAGAACTTTAACAGTAACAGTATAAAAACAAATACATATTTCCTTATTAACTGTCTAGGAGAGGAATGTTCATTTTAAAAGTATAATTTTATATGTTCCTTTGACACTCTACAACCACTTGTTATTGTGTGTAGTGAGATCAAATGTGAGTTAAACTCTATTTTGCCCAACACTATACTCTGATACTATCGCACATTCAACTGGTGAAATGATGAAAGCAACATGGGGACTGAAAATAAGATAACTTGCATTTTACAATTATTTGTTCATCCTCTCCCCTCCATTAGGTTGGACAATCAAGATACTGCACTTTTATAATTCTTATACAGTCACTGCAGCATACAAATTAGCCCATTCACACCTGGGTTAATTTGTGCATGTCTGCTTGCACAAACCAACCACTTTATGGCAATGCACATTACAAAAGATATTTCCTGACTAATGTAACATGCAATCTATGTGGCACATTTTGTTCAGGTTTGCATTTGATCCTCCGTTCACCTGTGATGAAAGACTGCATTGACTAGGGATGTGCACATCCGAACAGATCATTCGCCTACATCGCACAACAGCTGCTTGACGACTCTGGCATTCAAGAAGTTGATAATGTTTGGTACTGGTCCAAGATCGGTTCGGGGATGTGGGCAGCAAGTGTCTTGCGACTGATTCCTGAGTAGTGTGCAAAACTCTCCAGGAAGTGCAGAGTTGTCACAACTTCATTTGGAAGCTCAGACACTTTCCCACTGCTACTGCTGTACAATGAACAATATTTCATTACAAATTAACTTGTGTTAGCAATTGTTTTGTATACTGTTATTTCCACTTGCATGGTTCAGTCACTAACATGACTGAGTTTTAGATTCCTGGTAAAAGGCAGGAAGTTCTCTCCTCATGAACACATCCAAACCACATTTGGGACCCAACCAGATTCCTATCCAGTGTGCACAGTTGACACCTTTCCCAGCGACCAGAGTGTTAAGCTAATTACACACTTTCAATGAGTGCAATGGTTAAGAATGCATAGGGGTTTACCAGAAAAGCTAATAAAGATGTTATACACAAAAAAGATACTAAAAGCATCAATTGTCTCTTTCAACAATACCAGAAAGATCAAACAAGTGATCCTCAACCTTCAACACTTTTATGTGGTATTTAAAACAAAGACATGTCAAAATCAGCCACAATAAAAATTTACAAACAAATAATTATGTATGATAGCATTAAGCATTTAGTTGCTAGAAGAAAATGAATCTGTAAGAAGATGGCTGTCTTCTGGATTGTAGCACCATGAGTAACTGCTCTGATGATGGAGGCAGCAAGAACCTCCGAAATGCTGGTAAACTTCTACCAGACTACATGGCAGTACAACCCAGAAGAGAGCCACCTCTGGATGCACCAGCGTGAAAACCTCAAATCCTGCAAAGATGTAACAAATTTTGCAGTACATTTTTCCAGTTGTGATAATACGCACATGTAATATAATGTTCACTAGAATTAAGCTGCGGTGCACAGACCACCAGTTAAGAAACAATAAATAAATGTATGAAGTGAAGCTTTCACGGCGACTGAAGTTGATGAAAGACTCAAAGGCTACAAGCTCAAAATGTTGGCAGAAGATATGGTTTGTTCACCATTCAGCCAACTGATGTGGCTTGTAGCCTGAGAGTCTTTCAGTTAAATAAACTATAAATGGAGCCACCAGCCACATCATTTCCATACTAAATTAAAATGTACTACAATAAAAATTACCTTATAGCAGCCTCCATGTGTGACTTCACATATTGTCCAAGGTATAACAAGAACTGGTTACGTATTTCTGGATGGAACTGGCGTAACAACGTCTGCATGCCGACTATAAATGGAACCCCATCCATTGGATCTTGTACCCGACGAGTGATGAGACTTCCTGAACATGAATCACATACAATTTTCATACCAGTGAATAATAAATATTACTTCAACACTGAACTTCAAAACATTTTCAGACACCCACTTTAAATCTCTTCATTGGTACATTAGTAAATGCAGTAGTTGCCCCCCCCCCCCCATGTTGAATATTTTCAGTGATGCAAGTATTTACTCAATAAAATCTCTCCTTCATATGTTGTTATTTAGTCATCCGTGTTGAACTGATTCACTTATACTGAAGCATTACATTGACTACTGAAATTATTGTCAGTTATTTAATCGGTATCTGGATATTTATATGCCATCTAGATGGGAAATATTAGGACTTAGAATAGTCCATGGTATCTATGACAGTTCAGTCAATGAAAGAAGTATCCATTGATGACAATGATTACACAAAATATGGAAATTTACCGGAATGAAATAATGGAACAATGGTCCTTATACAAGCAAAAATACACAATCACATGATCCACCCTTCCCACCGCAGTCAAAATAGGAAGGAGGTGTCGAGTTCTATGTGTTGTAGGTTCGCTTAGCCCACGCCCCAGACAATAATGTACTCAAACGCACACACATCCAATAGGTGATAAATTTAATTACTTAAAACAAATGCCACATCAATACAGTACTTAATATGAATGCCATATATATATTACTTGGGCCATTGATAACACAACTCTATTACCAACAAAGAAATCTTGATTAAAAATATCCAATACAATCAAGGCCCACACTACAGCCTCACTATTGGTAATACCCCTACGTCTCCCTCGGCTGGGACCACCCCGAGGGACCAGAAATATCAACCACACAGCAGTTGCCCCGTCAACTAACAACAAAACAACAGGACGGGCAACTACTACAATAAAATACAATACCACCTAATGTCACCTCACAGGGCGTACCCAGCCGGAGAGGTTGTCGACCGACCTGCAGCTACAGACCAGCTGAGAGAGAGTGTCTGACTCTTCTTTCTGTGTTCTGGCGAGAAGGGTTGGTCCGCATCAGTTCCCCCTCCAACAAGCTTAACCTCCCCGCACACATGCGCACGCTCCGCCGTCTCAAACACCAGAGCCAGCTCTAGCTTGGCTCACACAAAACAATCAATTTAATTACTTTCCAGTACATTTCGAAATAATCTTCATTTAACAAAATGAGTACAAATAACTTACCAACATTCTTAGCATAGGTAAGTTTGGGAAGTTGAGACACCACAAAGAGAAATGAGAGTACTGAGAAAAACTGCAAATTCTTGGTGGTTACGTAGATCTTCGTGTAAGGATTACTAATGCCAGTCCAATCAAGGTATGTTGATAATTCATAAAGTAGTGGGTTTGACTCCTTTGGGTATGGTTTTGATGGTTCCTTGTAATGGGCTTCAATCTCAGCCAACAATGCACTGTAATGGTAATATTCAAACCAATAACTGTCTTATATAATGTCATGACAAAAAACACATTTCAGTATATCAAGTGCAGAACATGGGACACTTTCCCCAAAGACTGTAAATTTCAAATAATATACTTGCACCTACTCATTCATAACTTGCAGAGCTGATACCAGGTGTTTAGAGTCAAATTTGCAAGATATGTTGAGTTCACAAGTTATGTGCTTCCTCAGTAACTGCATCTGTCCAACTTTCAGCACCCGATCCAAAATCTGGGGCCAAACTCTCTGTGCACGGGATGTATATTGCGAGTAGAATCGTCCAGGATTGCCTGCCAATCAGAGTACTAGGTATCACTGCAGATTATAGGATTTCTCTAAAGGGTTTTAAACATATTTCAAAATTCAGTTTTTATAAAACAAACTCTGTGGTCCAGTACGCCCAGTAAATCTAACCCACACACTGGTTCTCCCACTATGATTTTCAGCTGCTTAGGATATGCCAGAGAACCTATCAGTGTCTGACAATTTTAACATTCCAGGTTTACAATAAGGGGCTTTTAAGACCAAATGCCTGTGACTGTTTATTGAACACACAGGATCTAAACAACATCTCCTCCATTCCAAATGACAGTACACCATGTCAAAAGATTCACTTAACATGTGATTTTACAAGCTACTTCATGTCATCCACTAATAAAACAAATGCTTGTGCCTACAAAAGTTCAAAACCTTCCTTACTCACTGATAATATTACAGCAGGGAGAAAGTCCTTTGGAAACAACTGCAAACATCTCAAGCCAAGCTTTGTCCTGCAAAACTCCTTTCTGCAAGGCATTCAGGTAATTCTAGAAGAGAAAATATAATAGTGAAATCTGCTTCTAAGGTTTCTCACAGAGCTATTAAATTGGAACATTAAAATGAGGTAAATCTTATATACAGGAAATTTAACGCAAACATTAGTGACTTGAGACCACTGAAATCGAATCTTAAATGAAAAAACTTTAAATCTGATAAATAAAATTAAAAATTTCTCCAACATAGTGTATCATGAATGTCAATTCAAGCAGAATCTCATTACTATAGAAACATATTTAGGTTAAGGGTAACCCTGCCCTTGCAAATAAGCAACATGCTATGAAGGCATATCAGGAACATGATTATAAGGCTTCACAGAGTTCAGACCTGGCCATTACAAAGACATGAATGGTTAGCTTCATACTCAGGCATTTTATCCTGGGAAAGAGCTCCCCATACCCACTGAACAGGCTGCATGTGGCCTAGAGCTGTGAACTTGTATATAGATACAAATGTTTCGGAACACCACGCTACCTCCATCTTCGGGGCTGAAGATTGAGGCAGTTGGCATCTACCTACAAGTCTATATGGCGTTACTACCCAGACCATACTGTGATGAAATATTAGTTATAGCAGGTATGTGAGTGAAGAGACAGATTTGCATTTTACTCTTTCACATGTCTCATACCGCAATACAAAGTACATGAGTTCCATGATCATACTTCTGTCGAAAACTAAGATTAAATGCAATAGTTCAGGAAGCGTACCTGTAGTTCTGTGACAATCATAAAGGAGAAAAGACGATCAAGTCCAGTTAGTCCAGCTGTTCCCACTGACTTGGTAATTTTGGAGAAGAACTTTAGATTTATGACTTCATTATGTGTTTTAAGATCATACCAGGCTGTCATGTGTTCAATATAAACTGTCAACCTGAAAATTAAGATGCTAACATAGGAAAACATCACATTATTTGCAGAATTCAGTTCTTCATTTCTGGGTTTGCTTAATTACAAGAGATGGGCAGAAGTAAGTTATGTGCGACTGCAATAAATTATTATTAACCTTACAAAAATGCAAATTCACAAGAACACATCTGTAATGCATAAAAACTGTTGTTCTCTTCTACCTTTCTCTCACATATTTTTCCAACATCCTGTATCAATACTGCAAACTGAAAATGTTACTTATTCGTTCTGGGACACAATGGCAAAAAGCAACATTCATTCGCTCTCTCTCTCTCTCTCTAAAATTTATATGGTTTTCAAGATACGGAACAGGAACCGTTTTTGAATTTCAGCCAATCACTCT